ACACTAGAACATTTTCTGAAGTACTGTTCCTACATTCACCACTATTTCGTAAATTATCACCGGAAATTGGTACTAACGGATGTATTTAACACCAAACGTAAATATTTCCGTTGGAAATACCACCAATATCGGTATCAAATATGCTGATTTGCCACTAACACAGATTTTCGTACTATTGTAAATACGTTCTTACTTTAGAGTTAGCCACAGTACGAAAAAAGTTATCACGAAAAAGAATATTCTAATGTAATTTCTGTTGAGTTATCCCATAATTTCGTGTTATAGTTGTACCCACTATTTACTAGTATTAGGAATATCACCAGTTCTGGTTATATGTGTTGCCAATATATAGGGGAAGGTGGGGCGAATCGCCGCACTTTTTTTCAAAGAATCAAAACTAAAAAAAAAATGCAAATAATTCTGGAAAGTTTAGTATCATTTTAAAGCTAGCCTTTTTACCCAACTTTTATAGCAGAACATTTTCTGATGTGACCATCGGCGCGGTCAGATATGGCTCTCGGCGCGGAACCCTGAATTTTGTGACATCAAAAAATGGTGGGGCGAATCGCCGCAGCCGTATTTTCAGTGCGTTTTATAAGTTTATCTTTGAGAAATTGTTTATTTTATGTGTTAATTATCTTCAGACATTCGAATATAAACAATTTCAACCATTGGTTGACTGATTTGATCATTTCATGACTCTCAAAAAATAAAAGAAATCTAGTACCTAAAAGTGATAAAACGTACCCATTGGATGTTAACAATTTTGAACGTATTTCAGTCAAAATTGGGTATTTTTGAGATCTGAAACTTTCTGTCGATAGGATTAGTGCCCATTTCCATTGTTCCATTCACAGATATGAGTTATAAGCAGTTCTGAGTGGTTTATTTATTGGTCAATTATCGGTTTAGGGTCATTAGTCTGAGGCCCATGGTGCGACATGGGAATATCAGAATGGAATCAAAATCAATCCGAGGCTTTGCCTCAACATGCCAAAACTTCTGCCGTTTTCGGATCTTAATTATCTTGTCGATTGTTTGAGTTATGCCGCGCACAAGAAATGCGAACGCAGACTCGGATGACGTCATAAGCACATCACAGTTTTGGACATAACTCCGTCAAAAATTAATATTTTTGAGATCTGAAACTTTTGATTGACCGGTATAAAGTCCATCTACATTGCCACATTCACAGATATGAGTTCTGAGTGACCAATTAGCGGTAAAACGCAAAAATGAGGTGCGGCGATTTACAGATTTACAGGCAATAACATATTATTAACTATACTTAATAACATAATAATAACGGCCGATATATTGGTCCAACATAACATAATAATAACGTTATTAAGATTCAGCATAATAATAACATAATATGTTATGCGTTATATCGGGTGTTATCTTAATAAATCCTAAGATTCGGCGGTAATAACATTTTATTAACTATAATAATAACATATTATTAAGATCGATTTATTAACTCAATTAATAACATATTATTAAGATACAATCTTAATAACGCTTTTTTCGCGCATTTTTTTCGCCGGAGCACTGACAAGTTGTTTTTTCTCTGCGGAGTACACACATGAATTTTTTGCACTGTTGCAATGAAATTAAAATGACTCTTTGAAACGGAATTATCATGTATTGAACTTAACCATTAAGTTTAGGAAATCGCCAGTCCCGACCTTGAAAGGATCAATTTACCATATTTTGTCTGCATTGTTATAGGTGTGTACATCGTACAGTGCTTTTTTTCTCTCCAGCTAGGGAAAAGAATGCGCGAAAAAAGCGTTATTAAGATTGCATCTTAATAATATGTTATTAATTGAGTTAATAAATCCATCTTAATAATATGTTATTATTATAGTTAATAAAATGTTATTACCGCCGAATCTTAGGATTTATTAAGATAACACCCGATATAACGCATAACATATTATGTTATTATTATGCTAAATCTTAATAACGTTATTAAGATAAAAAAAATCCTAACATAACATAATAATAAATATGTCGGGCAATAACATATTGATAACATATCGAAAATGTAAATCTGTACGGCGATTCGCCCCACCGTCACCATTTCTGTTTGAAGCTCGATTTAACCACAAATATTAAAAAATTCCAAAACATGTTTAGTTCCATTTGAAAGCGCAAGTGATTAGCTACAAAATAGACTCACCTGATTTAAAAAATAATAAATTTAAACAGTCAAAACTAAGATTCTATGGACTTGAAAAATGAACTCAGCACTAGCCCAAAACACGTCTATGCCTGTACAGAGCCTGTACTCAAATGAAAAATATCGAATTATATATCCAAATATCGGGAATTAATTGCTCTTCAAAATGACACTAGAACTTTTTGCATATGTATTGCTGTTTTCGAGAAAAGGCCGGTGCGGCGATTCGCCCCACCTTCCCCTATTATTAGTTGCAATTTCGATAATAATTCTCAGTGATTAATTTTATTTAGTTCACACTTCAATTTTTTTGTTCAGTCAATATGAACTCACATGTTTCCGAAAGACATTGTTGGATCAAAGATTATCAAATTTAAAAAAATTAAACAACAATTTTTCTATCTCTGGAGTCTGCATTCTTATTGATACTGATCCAAAATTGATATTTTTCCAATTTTTAAGTTTTTTTCGTGGATTAGTTTCTTATGCTTGAAAATAACTCGAAATTTCCCGAATTTTCTTCAAAACTTCCAAAAGGTTTGAGAAGTTAGATTTTTAACCTGGACAAATTTTGAACGCATTGAATGATAATTTTGAGAAAAATAAATGAAACTTCTATTAGACTTAAAACTTAGACTTCAAACGTGAATAATAATTTCAAGCCTTTTAAAACAATATCAATTTTCAGAACAAATAAATGAAATTTTTAATTTGGCTTAGAATTATTATTCAGGTTTGAAGTCCAAGTTTTAAGTCTGCTAGAAGTTTCATTTATTTTTCACAGACTTCAATTCAATGCGTTCAAAATTTGTCCAGGTTAGAAATCTAAGTTCTAAAACCTTCCAGAAGTTTTGAATAGAAATGAATGAGACTTGGAAAAAATCAAAATTTTATTTCTTAATTTAATCTTGTTTTAAAACTAATTCCAAAATATCCAAGAAATTTTTTGTAGATATAAATAGCTGAAAGCTTTTCAAACAAGTAAACAATGTTATTAAACAATAAAATATAATTGAAATTTGCAATCATCTGTGTTAAAACACAATTTGACGTCATTTTTTCCGTTTTAACACGAAATTCCACCATAAGCACCAAAATACGGAGATAACACGTATTAAATGCATAGACATATTTACATTTCCAGTGTTAAACTAGTACCGAAGTTATCACAAAAATCGACTTAACACGTGTTAAAGTAAAAGAAATATTTAGATCCTTGATGTTCTGCAATAATGCTGAAGACATCCAATCTTTATCTATTTCCAGTAGCGAGAAAAATGCAAAAAACGTCTTTTCCACTCAATGCTGAGTTGTGTCACTTTTGCTCGCAACTTTATTTGTCTCTTTTTTGGTCTTAGATTTTTCCATCTAGGTTATGGATAAAGAGCTCATATTGTTCTCTTTTTCTATGGGTGTCATATGTTAGATACGAAAATAGATTTGCTGCATTGTCCAATATGTGAAATGTTTTCGATAGCAACGCCTTCGATTTCAAATCTTATTGAACGAATGTACAAGCGAAACACAATTGATTGATTATGGATGTCAGTCGGCGACATTATTCGTATGTTCAAGTAAAATGAACTAAAAATGAATTCACTTCCGCAAAGCGTGACGGTTCACAGAGGTGACGGATAATGAGAGGACGGATAATTGAGGTTCCACTGTACCACGAAAATATACTATTGTATGCATGTTTCTGAAATGTTTGGCCAAACCGTTCATCCGACTTATATACAATTTCGAAAAATGTCAATTTTGTACTGAATTCATGGACATAGAGGTGTTCCCGAGTAAAAATGACTTTGCTTCTAAAAAGCAAATTAGAATCGGACAGATTTGCTCCTTTTTACTGAATTTTCATCAAAATATTGTACCACTTCTGAATGCTTCTTAATTGTTTCGCAAAGTGATGAATCTACTGAAAATGGGTCCAAAAACGAAAAAAATTATAGTTCGGATTGAAGTGAACTTTTCAACTTGCATTTTTTTGGACTGAAAATGATGTTTTTGTTCGAAAAACACGTGAAATACACCTCTGACGACATTTTTGTCTTGAAAAAATGCCATTTTTTCGTAAAAATAATGGGAGTCTACGAACATTTGAATACCAAATTCGTTGTTACTTTGGTCATAAACCAATATTTCTGCATCTGAATGTATGAAATTGATAGGTATTTTGTTTGGGAATAAATAAAAAATGCACTTCCCAGAGCTTTGGTAGTTGGGAACAATTATTTTTTAATGAAATGATAAGGATCCACAATTGCTTCAACACTCCTTTTACGTTTGTATTGAAATTTTATCGCATTTTACAACGTGAAATTAAGGAGAAATGAGACTTTTTTGATGTTAGTGGAAATTTGCTATTTCCAAAGTTTGTCAAGAATGGATGCGAATGTTTTATGAAAAAAACAGCTATTTTCTGATAATAAGAAAATTTTTTTGGCAAAAGTGTATTTTTCCTGAAAATAATAATTGCTCTACAAAAGTAGTGATATCAGATGAAAAACCTCTAGACGAGGTTAAAATAGAGTGACGCTATGTAATAACCAATATCATTTTGAGTGACGCTAAGACGGTGTCAGTTAATCCACGGACAGGAGCGTCACTCCATTTTAACTTCGTCTAGAGGTTTTTCATCTGATGAAAAACCTCACATTGGACTTTTGGTCAAACATTATACGCCTGATTTTTCACTGAGTTGAGAATTTATTCTTGTACTCACTTTCTGGCCTAACTGGATTAAATCTACTTTATACAGCTTGGCGGTGGAAGAATAAATTAAAGTAAAATATATATAAAACCATTTAAATGTTTCTCTCGTTTTTTTTTTATTATTATCACATTTGCCAAACCAATAACATACATTTTAATATAATATTTGAATCCCAGAAAGAAAAACGTAAGAAAAACATGTTCTGAATTTTTGAATAAAATATTCCCCATTCTATTTTATAAACGATAATTCCAATTCATATGAAAAAAACATTTCAGCTACATTACATATTTTTGTACAGTTACTCTCAAAAGTGTTTGTACACCTCTTTTAGCACTACATGAAATGTAGTTTTTTTTTCAAATTCTCACCTTGTGTTGTTTTTATCTATAGGTATGATTAGTCAGTGACATGGATTCACATCATTCAAATATTACGAAAACTAGTGAAAAGTGGAATTTTGTCGAAATAAAAAAGGTGTTCGAACATTTTTTTTAGTAATTGTATAAAATATTCTATATACATATAAATATATAAAAAGCTGGGGAAAAAGTAAATTGATCGAGATATTTTATAAACAAGCGTGATACGATTTTCCTTTTTACCGTTACATGAAGTTTCATGATGAAACGCACATTGCGATGTACATGGAATGTAAAAGGTACTAACTTCGTTCTTTTTTTTCTCCCTCGGGGTTCACAAATTTGAATTTTCCAATTCCAAAACAGTTTTTTGCTTTATGTTTAATTATTATCTGTAACTAAAAAACGTTATTACCAATACGATACTTGAAAACTATCATTTCCATATATTATGATGTAGCGTAATGGTTAGTGTCCTAGCTCTGAATTTAATAAAGAAGAGAAGTAGCTACGAATACACGTAAAAATGGAGTGTTTACTCGCTAGGTTCGCACAGTGCAACAAAGTTCAGGCCACTAAAGTTTCAGCTAAGATCCAACAGCATGGCGTGAAACTACGCCTAAGTTTAGTGACCTGAAACTTTATTGTGCTGTGTATGCTATCTCTCTAATCTATCCAATTCATACATTGTGATGTAGTACATTTCATGTAACGTTACAATTATAGTTTTTTATACAATAACTAGACCTAAATAAGTTTTTCGCTGAAAATAAAAAAAATATTCAGGCTTATTTCGATACATATTTACCCCGACGCGATAACAACTTTGAATGATAGAAAAAAGGTTTATTGCTATGAAATGTTCGTTATGTGGCTGGCAGAGCGTGTTACGAACTGATGTCAGCAGCATTGACTAACGTCAGTTGCTGACTCGAATGCGTTGTGTTGTTTTAACGCATTTAACAGTAAAAAAACGAAAGGTTCAGCAATTTTTCCATGTTTGCTTTTTTAGAAAACAACAACATCCACACATTTTTTAAGTTTTTCCCCACACAGAAATATACGAACACAAATGTAGTGTCCCCATACATAACACATTTCAGTGTATGTCACTTTCTGTTTTATCTATATACATGCGTAATACAGAAAGTACGAAGATGCAATGTAATTGCATTACATCATTATTAGAATGTATAGAGGATAAGTAGGATTTTTAGGGGGTAAATTAGGGGTTTGATTCTGTTTTTGCCCTAAAAGAAATATTTTTGGCAGAAAATCGATTTTTTAAGCCTCCCCTGCATCCAGTTTTTCATCCAATCAAGCGGGCATGCAAAGTTTGAACGGATTCTGAAAAGTGAAGTCCAATTTTTGGTCGATTTCACGTAGAATGGACGATAAATACAAAGGCCAATAATGTGTTCGCAGCGTAATTCTCCTAGTGTGCAAATGTAAAGTATTCGATAAGGGAATATGAGAACATAACATTTGGTTGTTGACAAATCTACTGCCGCATTCAGCACACAATCGGTTACACCTGTGGCAATTAGCTGGGCCTATTCTGTATATGAATTGATTTTAGTATAATTTATTGATAATTGACGCATCATCTATCGAGATAATTTCGCTTGGGCAGGTATCGAACATGAGAACGTTCCACTTTCAAACAATAAAATTACTCATTTATGTCTAGGCATCAAACAAAACAAACAAACAAATCATTCGAAAGAAACAAAACTTGTCACTATGCTGCAAAGTCCATTGAACTGAATCTCATTGAATCCTACCATGTCAAATACAACCATTCTGAACCAATTTATCATACGTTAATAAACATTTACATTTACATTTACATATGAGCAACGATTTCGAATCGGGCATTTTTGCAATGTTATTGTATAACAAACTATGAATGAAACGTTACATGAAACGTACTATTTTCAATTTCAATTTTGCAAGTATCGAAATTGGTAATAATGTTTTATAGCCATCTTGTAGTTAATCACAGATTGAACATGAAACAAAAAAAGTTCTGGTATTGAAAAATTCAAAATTGGAATCCGAACGGAAAAATATTTCTAATTTATCTCAACAAATTCACTTTTTTCAGCCAATTTTTCTCAAACGTTATTTTGCCTCTAAACTATCCGTAATTTCATTGATAAAATGGATTATAATCACTTGAAAAATTACATCTCTCTTGCTTAATGATGATCAGAAATGGAGAGGTCGTTAGCACAACGGGATCATTTTTTTCTCTGGATTGCTTGCATAATTCGTAGAGCCATGAAAGGCCATAAAATCATGATTACGAACCAGGTTGGTGATATTTCCGCGATCGGCCACCATTTGGGATTTTTCAGTTCCAAAATCTTAGATTGTATAGATGATTTAGAATTGATATTCAGTATTTTCATTTCAATATTATTTTCACCTTTTTCTTGATTAATTGTTGATTCCGTAATTCAGCCAACGAGCGCTCCAATAGATTAATCCGTGAATGAATTTGATGTAAGTCACTTCGCATTGCCTCAACCATTTTCAACACATGATTGATTGTTGGTATAGCTTCGGGTGAGCTATTGTTCGTTGCGATTATTGTGTTAGTGCTCCCATTATCGGTTTCCTGCAATAAAATGAGGGAAATCAATTTTGAAAAGTATGCCAATATCTTGGAATAAGATTCTTTGTACAATGATATCATATCAAACTTATTATTACTCCATTAATCCGCAAACGCACAACGGGGATTCAGAGGCTTTAGACGTCAGTTATTTTTCTTCTTTTTTTCAGCTTAATTCTTATTGTAAAAAAAAATATTTTTTTCAAGTAACGTGAATCGAATATTAGTTATTGCATTTTTCGGATACATTTTTCGGATACATTTTTTTGGTAAAGAATTATTATTATTATTAAAAATATTTTATGAATGTCTTTTAAGATCTGTCTCCATTATCTATCTGAGCCTTTAAAATTGCTGCGCAATTATTTTATAGAGTAGACAGCCAATTTCTTCAATAACTCATCAAAATCGAAGTGAAAAATAATTAATTCATGCATTCGATATTACTTTATATGGGTATGAGAACAGAAATCCACTGGGAGCCTCAGAGTCCCCCTTGTACAAAAATGTAAGTACTTGAGCTTGTGCGGTTGGGAGTTAATGCTTGTTTGTATTTGAAATCTGTTGATATGTATTTTTTATTACATTAGAAAGAAATGCATTATTACATTAGAAAGAAATGCACTCATATCTGGTTGACTGATGCGTGAACGCCGTGTCCAGGGCCTTGAATAACGAAGAGGTTCTTCCACCAACTGAAGATCATCCTGCGAAGAGAAGTTTGAAGTAATATATCCAAATCATGAACTCGAAAAATCACTCACATGAACTACACAGACCGACGCGTATTTTTTTTTCAAGTTCGGCACATGAGCCGGACAAGTACCAAGCGATACCTTAGGTGGCTCTGATTACGGAATAGGCCATGATTTTGTTCTAAGTTGCTCCTTTCGAAAAATATTGACTATGGTCGTTCCTGCATTTCAGGAGGAACTAATTTCTTGATGAGAGTATTTTTCGTTTTTTCACATAGAAAATATTTGTCGCGCGATTTAAGAGTGTGATCATAACTAGCTTTTATCTTCACGACATCGAAAAACTGGACGAAAATCAAAAATTTCTAATCATCTCAAAATTTCTAATTTTGTATTTTTTCAACACTACCAAAAAACTGGCAAATATTCAGGGAAGAAATTAACAGCGTATATTGGGTCAATTCGAAAGTTTCCGCCGCTGACATTTAAATGTCGCCACTTGTAACTGAGCGTAGCTTGACAAGTGAATCCAATTGCATTTTGTAGATGTGACATTTAGCAATCTAACTCAGAGCAGAAAGATTCATTTTTCGTTCTGCGTCATTGTTTTTGAATCGATTGAAAATGGATCGTGATAAGGTGTTTTTTCGAGGGGCCCTTCTTTTCTTATTTGATTCGAAGAAAACTGCCGCTGAAGCTCATCGAATGCTGTCAGATACTTATGGCGAGCAAGCTCCATCGGAACGAAGCTGCAGAGAATGGTTTCATCGATTCAAAAGTGGTGATTTTGACTTGAAAGACAAAGAACGTTCAGGTCGGCCAGAAGCGATTGAAGATGTCGATTTGCAAGCATTATTGGATGAAGACCCAACCCAAACGCAAAAAGAACTTGCATTGCAGTTAAACGTCGGCCAAACAACCATTTTCAGACATTTGCACGCCATGGGAAAGATTCGGAAGCTGGGAAAATGGGTTCCACATCAACTGTCTGAAGAGCAACTTCAAGCACGAATCGCAATATGCACAAAACATCTTGCAGAGCACAAAAGAAACAGTTTTTTGTATCGGATTGTTACCGGCGATGAAAAGTGGGTTCATTACGAAAACCCCAAGCGTAAAGTAGCGTATGTTGATCCCGGCCAACCGGCGCCATCCCAGCCAAAACGAGATATTCATTGCGATAAGGTTATGCTGTGCATCTGGTGGGATATGAAAGGAGTCGTGTATTATGAGCTGCTAAAACCAGATCAAACGATTAATAAGGAACGCTATCGACGCTAATTGAATGATTTGGCTCATGCATTGGATGAAAAACGGCCATTAATAGCTCGAAAACACCACAATGTTTTGTTCCACGATGACAACGCTAAGCCACATCGTGCAACAATCGTTAAAAATGAGGTAGAGCAGCTCGGTTGGGATCGGCTTGATCAGCCCGCGTACTCCCCAGACCTTGCTCCTTGCGACTACTATCTATTTCGATCGATGCAGATTGCTCTGTCTGAAGTACGCTTTCAAAATGAGGAAGAAGTGCGAAAATGGGTTAATGACTACATAACCTCAAAAGACGAGGACTTCTTCAAGCGAGGAATCCACAAGCTGCCAGAAAGATGTCGGGAAGTCATAGCTAACGATGGCGAATACATTAGTTAATGTACATTTTCAATTTATTTTGCAATAAATGTATTTTTAGACAAAAAAAACCGCGGAAACTTTCGAATTGACCCAATATTAACAGCATACGTATTTTGTATCAGAATAAGAAAAGTTAAAATAAAATATCATTAAATGATTTTTGACTGATACAGTATTCATACTAGATTTTTGTAAATATTCAGTTTTGCAGAAAAATGACTCCAGGAGTCATAAAAAACCGGATCTTCTGATTTATATAAAATTTGGGGTATAACAATAGATAGTTTGATTTTTCATAAATATTGGTTCTCGAGTCGAGGTGTCAACGGACACGGACAAAAATTCGGACAAAAATTCGGACATTGGTGTCCGTCCGTCCGAAAACCGAAATATTTTTTCGGACGTCCGGTACGAATGTCCGAATTTTT